CGAGCGTTTAAATCTTTGCGTATGGGCCAGTTGTCATAGCCCTTTTACATGTAATAGTTTATCTGTGGAAGCCACCTCAAAAATCATGGCAATTTAACTGTGCAAGAAAAATTAATAAGGTATTGAATGGAGGTAATTTTGTACAACAAGACGACAGCTCACGACAAAGTAGGAACATGAAATTGTACATCGCATTTCGATATTGCGAACGGCTTTCAATGGCGACTAACAATCTGATCGCCCTTACGGCTTTAGCAAGCTACAATGGACACCAAGTTGTTGTACCTTTTGTAAATGATTCACAGTTTTTTGGTTATAAAATGAGCAGTGATGACACTCAAACACTGGCATTGTACAGTACTACAATCTGAGCGCATTTAACAACACGCTTCGTTCACATGAATACAGCACTTTAGTGAGCTGGGAAACATTTCAGAGTGTTTGCCGAGACAAGTTGGACTTACTGATACGATTTAGTTATGGTGAAGAAGCTTCACGCCGACAACAAACCATGGAAATTCAAGGTTTTCAAACTAGATTTGGCTTCAATATATCGAAAACTGTTCGCGTGGATTCCGGAATGCTTCGATCGGTTGAATCTTTTCTCGACAAAGCACAGGCCACCCAGACGGAGTATGTGTCACTGAATGAATATATTAATATTCACATGAACAAAATTGGACGAGTCGTCGAAACTCCCATGAACTAAAATAGTCCAAAAGTCAAAATATAACAAAACAAAGCTAAGATATCTTTAACTGAACGTATCTTTGTCTTTCCTGGCCGGTTAAAGTGGCATTTTGTTGAGATTTGCAATTGTAGGTTACAAAACAAACGGACCATCTCCACTCGCCTTCACGCGAAGGGCTATAAATTCCAGAATAATAGACGAATCCGCTCCCAATTGCCATCGGCTAATCTTCAGGTAACGTGTGCTCCGGTTTCTTGCTCGCTTGTTACACAAATCCCATCGCAACTGCACAATAATCGCTCGCTCATCAAGAAACACTGTTGACCTTTACGCTTCGATATGACCGCAAACTACCAGGTTCAATACGCGACGTGAATATTCAAGCTTAGCGACCGCGTCCGCGCGACAATGAAGCACTTGCTATGGGAGGGATGTTACTATTGCTTCAATAACCTCAATGGGGTTAACCGATAGTCGTAAAACGGGCAAAAATTTAGTCGATAGCCGTAAAAATTGAAAAATTTTAACCATTAGCCGTAAGTAGAGTAAAAAAGAGTTAACCGTAAAGGAAACTGTTCCCTAGATTTGCTACTTTTAAGGGACGTACTAAACTCACTAATGGTTGCGTTTTTTATTTCCCGGCTAGTGTGACTCCTTACGCACGTTAGGCGAAGCGCCGTTTAGGTGTCGACCAAGACCTAGGCTCCATTTCCGCCTGCGTGCACTCTCTCGAGGAACTGATTTTTTCCATAGCGAAAGTGTGGCTTCTTGCAGGGGATTAATATTTTCAGGAGGTCGTGCCGTAGAAACACTAGTGAAACAACCGTCGCAGACATGTCACTGTTTGTAAAACACGTTGCCGATAAACAACATTTCCCTGTTTTTCTCTGACGCTACGGTAGACATTGCCTTGCCTAGTCCCTGTACGGTGTCTTCCCACGCAATCCCGGTCAAGCCATTTCCGTCGCGAACTCGCTAGGACCACGTGACCCGAAACGCATTAGCCGCGCGGGATAATGAGGCCTACGGACATTGAGACCCTCTGTACATGATGCCGTAGATCAAATCGATTTCAGGTTAAATCAGTATTCAACGAAATTTATTCAACCAAGTTTGATTCAGAATTTTCTTTGTACTGGGCGGGCCCTAATTATTAATAAACGCAAAAGTAGCCTGTTCCAAGCGTTCAGGTGGTGGGGAGCGAGTTGAATCGTACGCGGTGAGCCCAAAAGCAACAAGAGGGGAAAAACGCTCAATTTTTCCCTCGTCAATTTTTTTGGCGCCTGCGCCCTACTCATGATCTTAACGCCTGGAATAGGCCTGGAAAAAAGCTAAGAAAACAGCAAAATAACACTGCTTTTGCAAAACTGAGTTATTTAGTCAATAATTGTAAGCCTGTCAGTGTGGCTAACTCTCCGAACGTCGTTTTCGTCGCACGTTTTTCAAATCAAATCGTCTGTTTTTCAACGAAATCGTGGGATAGGAAGAGGTTTAAATCTTTCTTGGGTGTTATGGGCAACCCTTGTCAACTATGGCCGTAGATAAAGATGTAGCATATTTGCTAACTATTAATTAAACAGAGTATGCGCTAAAATTTATAAAAAAAAAGTTGTAAAAAAGTAAGGATGTTTTAATATTGAACAAGAGAGATTCTCTCTTGAAAGTGAAGGAACTTCCAATATTTTAAAAGGTACTACCTTGTTTTAGTTTTAGACCAGGTAGGCACAAATGATGGGTTTTCTCGGGTCTAACTGAACATCGTGGAATGTATAAAAGAGCGGTATAAGAAAATAAAACGGAGAAATTTTTTTACGCACGCCCCAGGCCTGCTTTGGAGTTAACTTCATTGGACTGATCAAGTTTCAAGTTTATTTATTATATAAAACAACTGTTTATAATTAATCCGAGTGACCAGCAGGTAGCTAAACTAATCGAGGCAGGTCTGTCTTACAAGTTCTTAATATGACAGATTTCCGAAAAGAAGAGTGTAACAAAAAAAAAAATTAACAAAGTCGAACAGTGTTGCAAAACAGAGAAAAACGTATGTTAAGTAATATGGTTCCACATAAACTCAAAATACGAAAACTAACAAAAGGACAAAAAAATGAAATAACGATGTGTTTTTCATCCAGATATATATATAGAGAAGATATATAAGTTAATATTTTTTAAGATTAGCCATGGTTTTGTCATTATATATATAGATGTCTTTGGTTTTCAAAATATTTAATGAAGAACCTTTGTCTTAAGCCATTTGGCATCTTGTTCCATATCATTGCGCCAATACGAGAGAACGCATTCTTTTGTATAATTTTTTTTTGTGGAAGTATTATTAAATAAAGAAGAAAAATCGATGTAGAGTAGACGAGAAGGAAGCTCCACTCAAGAGCTCCTTCGTCCGTGACGACCCTTACACGCCATCTCCCCTAACCTCCTTGCGTTTGACGCTCGATGCAAATATCAGTTTCGTCTTCAAAAACATCACGTGCACTAGAATCTTGCCTATTCCCTGTGCGGCGCCTTCCCAGGCCTTCTCGGCCAATGTATCCGAGACGCGGGGAAACTCGTTCGGACAACGTGACCTCATTGGCCACATGGAAACGGAACTAGGCATGCTGGAATTTTGAATCTGGACTTTAGTTTTATTTATGCATTGACCGGTCTGTGTTTCTGCATGCGTGAGGAGCAGCATGAATACACACGAGGTAGTTATGCAATTTTTGACAGACTAGTTTTCTTGATTTTGATAAACATGTGTTGACGGAAATTTTATCCCTTCAAAGATTTTTCAGTCTAGCGAATACAGAGAAGTTATCGTGAAAATTTACTGCTCATTATAAATGCAGGAATGCAGATTTGAATAGCCCACGTTCGATATGTTAAAATTCTAACACGACTGCAGCGCTTTAGGGACAAAATTCCAAACTTTTCACGAAGCCATTGTCTCGCAATTCCCAGAAGAGGACTTGAGCACAAAGAAAACCACCATGTTATAATTTTGATATATTGAACGTGGACTTGATTGTATTCCAGTGCGAGTAGCGACTACTCGAGACTACTATTTCTATTTCTATATTTCGTGATATTTATACTTGACAAAGCTTGCCCATCGCGTCACTAATACTTGGTGTAATTATCGACAATTCACTCTCTTTTAAAGCACATATTAAAGAAATTTGCCGGAAAGTGAACACAAAAGTTTCAATTCTTCGTCGCATTCGTAAACTTATACCCTCAGATATTATGATTAAACTGTACAAAGCATTTATTCTGCCTCACTTTGAATACGCATCACCATTGTTCATAGGTCTAAGTAAAGGTTTGTCTGCAAAACTAGAGTCAACCAATGCATTTGCTCTTAGGACTCTTCTTAACTACTCCAAGTCGACTGCTTATGAAGAGCTACTTAAAACTGTACATATCAAAAGCTTGGAACATCGACGCATAGAACAAGCACTGATACTTGTATACAATAGCATTTATAACCAGGCACCGAACTACATTCGGGAAATGTTTTTACTGCGAAGCAATGGTTACAGCCTACGGGGCCATCTGAAGGTTGTTCTTCCAAGACCGACCTCATCTTATATGCAACATTCTTTCACGTACCAGGCTGGCAAACAATGGAACAGTCTACCAGACAAAATAAGGATGTCGGAGTCCCTCTCTATCTTTAGGAAAAACTTACAAAACATACAGTTGTCTTCATCGTATGACTGCAACTGTGAATTTTGTAAATAGACAATCTGATTACCAATATTTTTTCTTTTTAAATTATTATTATCTTTTAGTTGGTTTAATTTTTCTATTTCTTATTTTTATTCATTACTTGTACATGTAGATTATGTAAATTATCACGTTGTAATTTTTATGGCACATTTGCATTTAAACGAGCTATCGCTCATATGCGATATGTGGTTAAATAAAATTACTTACTTACTTACTTACTTGTGTATTTTTTGAATAATCAGTTGGGGAACGCTTGTACTCCCCAGTCAGTGATATGACTACAAAACGCGCAAACAGCTTTATTTCGACGTGGCAAAACAGTACGCGACGGAAAGCGGTCGTGATTCGTTGTTCCCTGCGGCGAGTGTTTTATGTGGGGACACTTGTCATAGTCCTTTTACATGTAATAGTTTATCTGTGGAAGGTACCTCAAAAAGCATGGCAATTTAACTTTGCAAGAAAAAGTAATGCGCTATTGAATGGAGGCAATTTTGCACAACACGAGAGCAGCTCAATGCAAAGAAAGAACTTGAAGTTTTTCATTGCATTTCGATATTGGGAGCAACTTACACAGGCCACTAACAATCTGATCGCCCTTACGGCTTTAGCAAGCTACAGTGGACACCATGTTGTTGTACCTTTTGTAATTGACTCACAGTTTTTTGGTTATAAAATGAAGAATAGTGAAACGCTAGGCTTGTACTACAATCTGAGCGCATTTAACAACACGCTTCGTTCACACGGATACAGCACTTTAGTGAGCTGGGAAACATTTCAGAGTGTTTGCCGAGACAAGTTGGACTTAATGATACAATTTAGTTATGGTGAAGAAGCTTCACGCCGACAACAAACAACGGAAATTCAAGGTTTTCAAACTAGATTTGGCTTCAATATATCGAAAACTGTTCGCGTGGATTCCGGAATGCTTCGATCGGTTGAATCTTTTCTCGACAAAGTGGTCAAAGGAAGTAAGTGTATTGGGATCAAAGAGTGGAGAGGAAACAAGGAGGTACCATATCGAGCTTTCTTTCCACTTCCAATAGATATCCATTCTTCCCTTTCAACGTCCGATGTAGCATTTTTCAATGCCAAACTTTTGGAAATTGTTGATGACTTTATAAATAAGACTCTAGGTTCAAACTACATTTCCCTTCACATTCGCACGGAACAGATTTTGAAACGTTCAAATGGTAATTTTACCACTTTGGTCAATTGTATCAAGAAGCAGGCATCACTGATAAAGAACATTCGAGCCCGTCATCCTAATTACCATAACCTTTTTGTTGCTGTAGATTTCACAGCGTTTGGTTCGCGGTCTAAATGGGCCAGAGAAGCACGTAGAGAAGCCTCTTTACTCTTACAGCATTTAAATGAACTGTTCGACAATATGGTCTTTTTACAGCCGCATTTCTATAATATTAAAGACAGAGGAGCCGTAGCCATTGTTGAAATGGCTGTCCTTGTTTCAGGGAAACAGCTATTCTTAACCGGAGGGGGAAGTTTTGAATATACCATGAGAGTACTGTTTGTGAAAAGAAGCCCATTCAGTGATGATAAAGTGCATGAAGTGTGTATGTGGTAGATCAAATCGATTTCAGGTTAAATCAGTAGTCAACCAAATTTATTCAATCTAGCTTGATTGAGAATTTCCTTGGTACCGGGATAGCCCTAATTATTAATAGGGGGAAAAGTATGTAGCCTGCTCCAGGCGTTCAGGTGCTGGGAAGCGAGTTAGATAGTACGCGGTGAACCCAAAAGCAACAAGAGGGGAAAAAACGCTCAATTTTTCCCTCGTCAATTTGTTTGGTGCCGGCACCCTGCTCATGATCTGACCGCCAGAAACAGGCTTGGAAAAAAGCTAAGAAAACCGCAAAACAACACTGCTTTTGCAAAACTGAGTTATTTAGTCAATAATTGTGAGCCTCTCAGTATGGCTAACTCTCCGAACGTCGTTTTCGTGGCGCGTTTTTCAAATCAAATCGTCTGTTTTTCAACGAAATCGTGGGATAGGAAGAGGTTTCAATCTTTCTATGGCGTGATGGGCAACACGTGTCAAGCATGGTCGTAGATGTAGATGTAGATGTAGCATATTTGCGAACTATTAATTAAACATAGTGTGCAGTAGAATTGATAAATAAGAGATTCTCTCTTGATAGTGAAGGAACTTCCAATACTTCAAAAGGTATTACCTTGTTTTAGTTGTAGACCAGGTAGGCACAAATGATGGGTTTTCTCGGGCCTAACTGAATATCGTGCAATATATAAAAGAGGGGTATAAGAAAATAAAACGAAGAAATTATCTACGCACGCCCCATATATAAATAAATAATAATAAATGATGCCTTTATTTAACGAGGGTAACACTAAATAGCCCAAGGCTAATAAACCTGTGGCCCCATGCCTTCTTCAGAATTAACTTCACTGGACTGACCAAGTTTCAAGTTTCAAGTTTATTTATTACATATAACAACTGTTTACAAATAGTTTTGCGAACCACAGCATAGAGAAACGTATAAGTAATATGGTTCCACATTAAATGAAAAAAGGTTTCAAACTAATAAAAGGACCAAAAAAAATATATTTGATATGATAAGTACCTAGGTATACATAGAGAGAAGAGATATAAGCTAATATTTTTCAAGATTGGCCATGATCTTGCCATTATCTATATGGTTCACTTCGGTTTTCAAAATATTTTATGATGACCCTGTTTAAAAGGTTTTTGCTGAAGGTCGTCTTTGGTATGTTTTTAAGCTATATATTTGGCATCTCGTGCCATATCTGCGCCAACACGAAAAAACGCATTCTTTTGTGTATTAAGTCTAGATTTTTTTAAGTGGAAGTCTTGTGAAGTTGGTGAGCGTGTAAAGTAGTGATGTGAATTTGATGTCCTAGAAAACAAGTTCCAAATAATTATAGGCGCATTTCTTTCGTCTATGTGGTGCATAAAGTTTAAGACGGATTGATAATACAAGATAGTTAATGACAGTACTTTAGCTTTTACGAATAAAGGAATAACATGATCTTGTCTGTTTGCAGAATATATTAACTGTGTAGTGCACGTTTCTGAAGAAAAAGTATCAGTTTTAATATAGACCACCCTCGACTTTTTGAGAGAAATTGAAAAAACGCCCATGCCTAAATTTCCTTGAGTTGTCGAGATACGTTTTACAGGCGTTTCCCTAAGAAATAAGACATTGGGTGTCAATGATATTCTATGAAAGTTTGACAGTAAAGATATTGGTCGATACTTCAAGACATTACATACATCATCACTTTTAAACATTGGGACAATTTTTGATATTTCAGTTTAGCTTAGAAGGATAGGCCCCTAGTTCAACTGATATATCAATTGATGATATCAGGAAAGGACCGGACTGGAGGTAGGCTTTTGCACATTATGCTTTTGTTTCCCCACAGGGCAAGAATATAAACATGCGATTTATTATTTAATAAAAAATAAATTTCAATTTTGATCTCATTTTGTAGTACGGGCTACCACATTTCGAATACTCACATTTCAACAAAAAATTCAAAGAAATTCTCACAAAAGATGAAAAGATCTTGAAAAACACCTACTTACACTGTCCATTTTCAGTTCTGTTCACAAATCTTCACGGCTTCATCTCAACTGCTAGGAAAAACTGAGTTTTAAATCTCGCGCTCGCTTTTAAACCTAACCTATGGGGAAGTAGGGGACGCATTGCTATGGGCAACCAATTTACTTCATACTAACAACAGTCTTGGATTCTGAATTCCATGCTGTGGATTCTGACCTTTGGGAACTGGATTCCGGATTTCGCATTGTCAGTGGAGCTTGGATCCCAGATTTCAATCGTTGGCGGAATTCCTGATTTCTTAAATTGAATTCCGTATCCCAAAGCCCAGGATTGAGGATTCCACACTATTATGCTATTTCATGAGAAATTTCTGCAATTTGATTGGCTGAGAGAAGTGGTATTTCAGCTTCATTTGAAGTACCTACATGTGAAAATTACAAACCTTTTGCGGGTAGTAGTATAAACAAATAAAAGCATGATTTGTACGTGATATTTGGCATAAATACCACTCGTGACATTTCAAAATTGTCTCAAATTTCACTCGCCTAACGGCTCATGAAATTACGTATAACAATTTCGAAATCACCCGTGGTATTTATGCCAAATATCACTACCAATCATGCTATTACCTGTACAAAAATTTTCCCAAGTCGGGAATCCTGATTACCTTAAATCACAATTTTCCTCCCAAAATTGCAACCTCGTTCCCAAAATTGGTGTTGGGGATGTAATTGTCAGTTACACTACAACATGTACAAGCAATCAAAGCCATATGCTGAATTATTTAAGATGGATGTCCTTGTACCAGAAATGGAGTGAAATGATCAATGTTTACTTGTTCATCGTCTTGTCGATGCCGTAAAGATCAGTTGGCCGTTTTATTTTTATACCAGTTGTTATTGTGTACTGACCTGTACGATCAGGATTACGAAGGGACCGCCCCCCGGTCCGGGTGTTACTAAACAGAGTAACGCAGTAACGAGTAACGAGTAACGGAGTAACGAGAAAACGAGTAACGGGATAAAAATTCAAGAGGTTTAAAATATGAATAAGTAAATCTTAATGATAGAAAAAACATAAAAATAGTGTAATATCCTAATAATGACCTTTACCAATCTCGAAAAATATGTGTATTCCAAAAGATGCTTAAAACAACGAAGTCAACCCCCCCCCCTACCAATCCCTTCAGCAAAGTCGAAGGTATTTTCGTACCGAAAAAGTCACCTATTTACAATTGAATATGCCTATCCAGCAGATAGAGTAACAAAACGTTCCGTTTATCGTTCATCTTAAAAGGTTATTTCCTACAGCCCAGGATCAGGAAGAACGGCTATTTGAAAACTGCCGAGTTTCTGAATTGTCACAAATCACTGAATATGTACAACTCAACAAAACTGTATATATACTGGTCTTACGTCACTGTCCTTGAGTAGTACCCGGGTAATAGCATTAGTACCAACATCGACATCTGCATCAATAAAATTGATTTCCGTATTGTTAGTTTAATTTGATCCCGCGGTATACGTTGTGCTTAGCTTATTGAGATCATGAAGAAAAGAAACAGAAAGTTTGTTTTGTGACGCATTCTTTTTTAAACAAGATATGGGATTACCCTAAGTTTCAAGGTTTCAGCGTGAAACGATTGTGATAACTAATGGATTAATTAAATTTTGTAAGATTAGGGAAAGTACTTCTTATACCAAATGCATGTCCCTCTTCGTAGTCGCACGATGGTAAAAAGCGTCTGAGAGTGCCACTTTAGTCCCTAGTGGGTCTTAATATAAGAGATTGATCGTCAAAGCAAGTTTAGAAGACCCGATTATTCCTTTCCCGAAGGGATCATAAGTGGAAGAAGACAGAAGTGCCAACAAGGGCTCTTCTACTATTTCAAAATACTCAGTATTAGTTGTTGTTATCTTAGCTCAGGCGTTTCATATAACACACCAATTTTTTTTTAAAGTTTCTCGCAAGCGTGACTAGAGGAGGAAAAATCCCTGACAGAATTCAGCGTTGACAGGAGCGTAGCTGCCTTTAAGCTATTAAAGCCCGGGCTAGACAAATTAAAATTTGGGTCAAAATGAGTTCATGTAATTGCATGTTATCAGGGAGTGAAATTGAGCTAATACAGGCACCAATGGCTGTGACGATCATGCAAAACTAATGACACATATGTCACTAGGAAACTCTGTCGCTGGCGAACGCCATCTTGGTTTCCCAAGTAGATATGTAGGGAGTTGTAGGGGTCCTCTTTGCTTACTTTGATTACCTGCTAGAATCATTTGGGTTCAAGACTTGTCAATTTGGAGGATCTCGGTTCTAAAATAACATCTAGTAAACCGGCCGTTTTCTCCTTGTTTATTGTTTCTTCTTGTTTTGTTTCATTTATATTCAGTTTTTTTCTGGAGACGCAAGACTTATTCGACTTAATGGAATTGGCTACCACTTTGAAATATCAAGTAGCCAACTAGATCCCACAAAAAGAGAGTTAATTTCAGGCCCAGGCAGTAACTATGTTTTGGTTATTCTGCATTGATTGTTAGATGCAACTTTGAGCAAACCAATCCATTTGAATGTTTCTTTTCTTTACTTTAGTTTAACTGAAAATCGATCTAGTATCGCTCTGCAATCCTATTTTGCCGCCAGTATTCAAATTTAAGAGTCTTTACATCGGGAGGTTATTTTTAAACACGATTTATACATCCTTTTAAACCGGTAGAAACGTTCACTACAATTAACTTTTGGAAGGTAGTATTAAGTCGAATCCCGTATTTACGAGAGGAAAAAAAATATAAACTCTTTTGCGTTCGCGTGTTCTGATGAGTGACGATCTGTTGAGTAGCTGTTTTGAAAGTTGTGGAACAAAAGACACTCGTGAAGCGCAGATGTAGTTATAAGGTGCGTATAACTGTGTATGTACAAACACCTGGAGAGTTTTGCCAGAAACGAGTTTATTCTCAAAACTGGAAACAATTTGCCAGATACTCTTTCTCGTTCTTAGGGGGAATAAGACTCGGTCAACAGACACGGAAGAGGAGTGAATCAACGGCTAGCTCATATCTAGCAGAACGATGGACGATTACAAAAATTCGCCGACAATTAAATTCTACTCTAATTCCAACTTCTCATCAAATCTTTCAGGGGCGGATACAGAATTTTTCTTTGGAATCGAGGGGTTGCAACACTTAGGAAAGGCGTAACTGACTGCTGACGTGACGTGCCAAACTACCATCATTACGACGTTAAACAAATTATTTAATCTCGTCTCATGTTCTACTTCAACACCAATAAACCACATAGTTTTGTTATACAGAATACAAAGTTGTATTAGAAAGCAGCAGGCCATCTAAACTGGTGGGGTGGGGGAGCTGCACCCAGGGGAAACCCAGATTGTTTTGACCAAAGCTGTGTAAATCGAGCTGCATGAGTGCATGGAACCTTGCGTTTCCTGCTTTTATGTCACCTACTGGGTATGGAATAAGTGTAAAAACCTTCATTATGAATCGGCATATTTCAAAGAGCTTCAGAACGAGCAAGAATACTATTGCCCGACAACATACAGTGCGTACAGTGTGGGGGCAGCTGTAGTGTCAGTTATTACCAGTTAGATACACGTGTAAATTTTAAGCATAATTACCTTAGTTTCAGTGACAACAGCCACCCATATGAGAAGAACAGTTCGGAGGGACCAGAGCGGAAATTCCACACTGATGATCTGGGAAGTACTTCTGATTGGTTGTGCCGCGAGAGAAATCAGAGGCACCTCTCAGAACTGAGTAGTGACAAATCATCAG